GAGGAGGAGGAGGAGGAGGAGGAAGAGGAGGAGGAGGAGGAAGAGGAAGAGGAGGAGGAGGAAGAGGAGGAGGAGGAAGAGGAGGAGGAGGAAGAGGAGGAGGAGGAAGAGGAGGAGGAGGAGGAGGAAGAGGAGGAGGAGGAAGAGGGGGAGGAAGAGGAAGAGGAGGCGGAGGAAGAGGAGGAGGAGGGGGAGGAGGAAGAGGAGGAGAAGGAAGAGGAAGAGGAGGAGGAGGAAGAGGAGGAGGAGGAAGAGGAGGAAGGAGGAGGAGGAGGAAGGAGGAGGAGGAGGAGGAGGAGGAGGAGGAGGAGGAGGAGGAGGAGGAGGAGGAGGAGGAGGACAGTCGCATCACACTACATTGTAGAACTGCAGCACCCGATTCTGGCCAGCGTTCTGCTCGCGGCGGCCCGGCTGCGTTACGCCCTTACTCTTCGCCCTCCAGTTCCACAGCCCCTGCTTCATCTCGGGGACCTTCTTCGGCTTAGCCCCAGACGCTACTTTATTCTCCTTGTCTCCCGTTGTCTCTGCGGGTTTTCTGCTGAGATTTTCGGTGCTTCGCGGACGCTCCCGCAGCCCGTGTGGACCTTTGTTAAGCAAGGAAAATGCACCTACACCTTTGGCAGTTGGCTGCGCTGCGGGCTGAGAAGTCTGTGCCTGTCTCTCCGTGGGACTTATCATGTGGCTTTCCTGGTGCGAGTCTGCATTCTTTTCCGCTGCAGCCACGACCTTCAACGGCTGACGAGCAGCGGCCGTCACCTCGCTCGTCTTGTCGGACGAGCCAGCCCGATCGGCCAGGCTGAATATGTTTCCCCTCTTGCGCCGACTCCTGGGGTTGTCCAGTGTGTTGCTCTTGACCCTGGGAGACTTCTCCTTGAAGGTGACGCGCTTCTCCGGGTGTGGCTGCACTCCGCGCATCTTGAGGAAGGGGTTCTCGGTGCGCTGGGGGTCGAGCTTGGTGGTGGTGGCGGTGGGGACCTCGCCCGGGTCGGCGCTCATGGTCGTGTCCAGGTCGGACGGCGGCCGATGGGGCGAGGTGGCGGCGTTCTGCCGCGGCCTCGCCTGCCGGAGGTAGATCTGTGCGCGAACCAGGTGCTGGCGGGCCTCCCTCTCCATGGCAGCGACGCGGTGCTCGCGGTGGCTCACTTCGCGTTCCCTCTCCTTGACCGAAACCTCGCGTTCCCGCACGGCCGCCTCGGACTCCCGCAGCGCCTGAACTCGTTCTCGCCACGTCTGCGGCGACATGCCTCCGCAGGCACACTCCAGCTTCGCCATAAGATCGCAAGTGCTGTCATCCCCTTGAAGAGGTCTGCTGGCAGCTTCTTTTGCTGCCTGGCATATCCTCTCGAGACTGTCACAAAGCCCTTGATCTCTGTGCTGGCTTCCTTGGTAACTATTCTTGATTTGATGCTTTTGCGAACTGCTTGACGCGCTCGTCTGGCTTTCACTTACATTACTGACTAGCTGTTTCTCCTGAGAGGCCCGGATGCCCGAGTTAATTCTACTATCACAGTCGCCATCGGCGTCCACTCTCGCTACGTTAAAGGTTTCCGCCATGGGTGAGGCGGCATACCTATCACTGGAGGCGCCTTGGCCGCTCCTCTCCCTCGTCCTGTCTCGAGCCCTCACACTGCTCTGACTGCTACAGCCTTTTGAGGCGCTGGCTCCGTCGGCGCTGCTTCTGTCCGTGCTCCTCCCCCTTTCCTCGTTCCTCCCTGTGCACGACTCGACTACATTCTTCCTGTCGTCGGTACTTCCATCCTTGTTGATGTTCTCCTCGGCCTTCTTTTGGTTTTCTGCCCCCAGGAGGACGGAGGTCCGCAGGGAATGGCAAAGGGGGTCGTCCTCAAAATTGTTGTGGTTTTTCGACGTATGCTTGATGAGGGACGAGTGGCGGAGGACAATAAAAGCATGGGGGCGCAGGAAGTCCTCGTAGGTTAAGAGGAGCCCAATCATTTCGTGCAAATCATTGCTGTACTGAATTGGAATTCGTTCATATCTGAAAGATGAAACGTATTAAGCAATGGATAACCGGAAACGATAAAATTTATTAAAATTCATACATTTAAATAGTCGACAACATAAAGAAGTGTTCTTCACAGATACATATAAACTACATGAGAACAAACCTTCCATCTCTGATTTTAGCAGCAAGTTGCTTGTGTGTCGTTGCTTGGAAAGGAGGGTGCAGCGCACATAGTTCGTAGATCAGACAGCCCAGCGACCACATGTCAGACATCTCATTGTATTCTTGTCCATTTATAACCTCCTGTTCGAAAGAAATATGAACGTGCCTTAATACTGCTACAATTTACCTATGCTCTGGAAAAAAACGTATGTCTAGATATATGGATATCCACGATAAAGACTCAAACCCACACAACTACCACAGAAAACTTGTCAGGGAGGAAGGTTACATGATTATGCTACGTTTTTTTATTAAGATGAAACCCTTGACAGACCGGCGATAAGTGATAACAGGGTCACAGAAGCGATGATAATTGTTTAATAACTAACATTATTGTGATTACAGTATGCATTATTGTCATTTGCTCACATTGCAATCAGTTAGTCACCACCAGCCTCTAAAGTGCATCTTCACCTCGTAAAAATAATGAAAGTATTCTTTTGCATTAGCAATTAATCTAACCCTGAACTTACTAAATATCATTTGCTGTTTCAGGCTCGTCAACTTCCAACTTATATATGGTCTATATTAACATTTCACACTATCAGCCGACTCTTATTAGTTCTTAACAGAAAGAAATATAAGCTGTACAAATCGCATTTTATAATGCCAAAATCGATGCCCAAAACACAATATGATTTATGCCCTCGACGACGACTATTCTCGAGCGTAAAATTTCCGTAGTTTAACTTATCTTTTAATGCAGGAGTCTTTACACTAAAATAGCTAGGGCCTTGAATTTAGCAATATAAAGTATATTAGCATTTGCGTGAAAAAATACCGCGCTAGATCAGCCAATGCTGCAAAGTATCCACATATGATGCTCGCGCCTTCAGGTAATTGGATGTTTCCATCTAAGTCGAAATTGTGTTCCTAAACTGGTCCAGTTTGCGCAGCTCCATCTCTCAAGAGTGCAGCCTAAGAGTACCACTTAAACCTGCACAGCTCCCCAGAGCCTACTTTTTAGAGGGGAACCCCGCGGCTCAGGTCAGTCTCGCTTGAATTGCCAAATGTCTATTGTTGTATAGACCTTAGATCTGTCATCCCATGTGCGTTGTCGACTTACAAAAAAATGAGAGTGAACTAAACGCTGTGGAAGACTGTTGATAACTAGTTTGACTTGTAATGCATTTGGAGCGAATGATCGTGAGGTTAAAATTCTGAAGAAAAGATAGCCACAATGGATGTTAACTTAAAGTCATGTCCCCCTTTCAGGAGGAATTAACAATAACTTCAAGACAACTGCAGGGCCTGTATGACAGAGCGAAGTGTTGCAATAATTCATAGTGACCCACAGACTAAACCAAAATATAGTAGAGCATTTCCTCTACTCCCCGACAAACAGGAGGGAAATGCTGGTAACTCCTTAGGATACAGCATTTTGTAGTGATTGGTCGCTGTCCATTTCTTACCACACCTCTAAACCCTCCTCCACCACGCCTGTGCTGAGCAGAAGCCCTAGCTAAAGTCTTTGGCCCTGAAGAGACCTTGCTTATTTCAAGTTTGGTGTCCGCGTTATATGTGCCTATACGTTTTATAATAGTAACATAAATAATGTAATAAAGTATCTTGTAAACGGATGCTACAGTTCTATCTCAGCGAGTCTATTTGCAAAGCATATTCTTCCTAAAAAATACCAAAGGAATGCCAATGCAACCAGCAACTCGCACTTCCTCATACAAACACGCTGTTCCTCACCGGGCTCATGTAGTACGGCGTCCCGACGAAAGTGGTCGCGAAACTGGCCTCCGAATTGAGCGTTCTGGCCAGGCCAAAGTCGCCGAGCTTAACGTCGCCGTTGGCATCGAGGAAGACGTTGGCCGGCTTGATGTCTCTGTGGAGGATCACCCGGCCCTTCTGAAGGTGTCTGGTGTGGCAGACCTTGAGCGCTTCACACACCTGCGGGGAAGACGTGGGTGGTTAGCTGCTCTGTAAGGTGGATTTTATGGCTTTTATTTATAAAAGAATTTATAAAGATGTTTAAACTATTCTCAAACCAAATAATCTACCACAAACAAAAGATAAAATAGCACACCAATCAACAACCAGTTCACTCCCAAGAAGTGGCCACAAAACGCACGGCATCCACACCTGTTTGAGAATCCTCCAGATAAACCCCTCCTCCAGGAAGGTGGTGGTGATGGTGGTGGTGATGGTGGTGGTGATGGTGGTGGTGATGGTGGTGGTGATGGTGGTGGTGATGGTGGTGGTGATGGTGGTGGTGATGGTGGTGGTGATGGTGGTGGTGATGGTGGTGGTGATGGTGGTGGTGATGGTGGTGGTGATGGTGGTGGTGATGGTGGTGGTGATGGTGGTGGTGATGGTGGTGGTGATGGTGGTGGTGATGGTGGTGGTGATGGTGGTGGTGATGGTGGTGGTGATGGTGGTGGTGATGGTGGTGGTGATGGTGGTGGTGATGGTGGTGGTGATGGTGGTGGTGATGGTGGTGGTGATGGTGGTGGTGATGGTGGTGGTGATGGTGGTGGTGATGGTGGTGGTGATGGTGGTGGTGATGGTGGTGGTGATGGTGGTGGTGATGGTGGTGGTGATGGTGGTGGTGATGGTGGTGGTGATGGTGGTGGTGATGGTGGTGGTGATGGTGGTGGTGATGGTGGTGGTGATGGTGGTGGTGATGGTGGTGGTGATGGTGGTGGTGATGGTGGTGGTGATGGTGGTGGTGATGGTGGTGGTGATGGTGGTGGTGATGGTGGTGGTGATGGTGGTGGTGATGGTGGTGGTGATGGTGGTGGTGATGGTGGTGGTGATGGTGGTGGTGATGGTGGTGGTGATGGTGGTGGTGATGGTGGTGGTGATGGTGGTGGTGATGGTGGTGGTGATGGTGGTGGTGATGGTGGTGGTGATGGTGGTGGTGATGGTGGTGGTGATGGTGGTGGTGATGGTGGTGGTGATGGTGGTGGTGATGGTGGTGGTGATGGTGGTGGTGATGGTGGTGGTGATGGTGGTGGTGATGGTGGTGGTGATGGTGGTGGTGATGGTGGTGGTGATGGTGGTGGTGATGGTGGTGGTGATGGTGGTGGTGATGGTGGTGGTGATGGTGGTGGTGATGGTGGTGGTGATGGTGGTGGTGATGGTGGTGGTGAGTGGTGATGGTGTGGTGGTGGTGTTGGTGGTGGTCGATGGTAGTGGTGGTGGTGTGGTGTGGTGGTGGTGGTGATGGTGGTGGTGGTGGTGGTGTGGTAGTGGGTGGTGAGTGGTTGGTGGTTGGTGGTGGTATGGTGGTGGTGGTGGTGATGGTGGTGGATGGTGGTGGTGATGGTGGTGGGTTGATGGTAGTGGTTGATGGTGGTGGTGGTGGTAGTGGTTGGTGGTGGTGGTGTGGTAGGTGGTGATGGTGGTGGTGATGGTGGTGGTAGTGGTGATGGTGGTGGTGATGGTGGTGGTGGTGGTGGTGGTGGTGGTGGTGGTGGTGGTAGTGGTGGTGGTGATGGTGGTTGGTGATGGTGGTGGTGAGATGGTGGTGGTGGTGAGATGGTGATGGTGATGGTGATAGTGGTGGTGATGGTGTGGTGATGGTGGTGATAGTGATGGTGGTGGTAATGATGGTGATGGTGATAGTGGTGGTGATGGTGTGGTGATGGTGGTGGTAATGATGGTGATGGTGATAGTGGTGGTGATGGTGATAGTGGTGGTGATGGTGATGGTGGTGATAGTGATGGTGGTGGTAATGATGGTGATGGTGATAGTGGTGGTGATGGTGATGGTGATGGTGATGGTGATGGTGATGGTGATGGTGATGGTGGTGATAGTGATGGTGGTGGTGATGGTAGTGGTGATGGTGGTGATAGTGATGGTGGTGGTAATGATGGTGATGGTGATGGTGGTGGTAATGATGGTGATGGTGATAGTGGTGGTGATGGTGGTGGTAATGATGGTGATGGTGATGGTGGTGGTAATGATGGTGATGGTGATGGTGATGGTGGTGATAGTGATGGTGGTGGTAATGATGGTGATGGTGATGGTGATGGTGGTGGGTGGTGATGGTCGTGGTGGTGGTGGTGGCGATGGTGGTCCGTGGTGATGGTGGTGTGAGGTGGTAGTGGTGGTGGTGGTATTGGTGGATGGTGGTGATGTAGTGGTGATGGTGGTCGTGGGTGATGGTGTGGTGGTGATGGTGGTAGTGGTGGTGGTGATGGTGGTAGTGGTGGCGATGGTGGTGGTGATGGTGACGGTGGTAGTGGCGATGGTGACGGTGGTGGTGGTGGTAGTGGTGATGGTAGTGGCGATGGTGGTGGTGATGGTGGTGGTGGTGGTAGTGATGGTGGTGGTGCGATGTGGTGGTGTGATGTGCTGGTAGTGGGGATGGTGGTGGTGGTGGCGATGGTGTGTGGTGGTGGTGGCGATGGTGTGGTGATGGTGGGTGTGGTGGCGATGGTGGTGGTGCGATGGTGATGGTGGTGGTGATGGTAGTGATGGTGTGGTAATGGTGATGGTAGTGGTTGATGGTGGTGGTGGATGGTGAGTGGCGATGGTGATGGTGGTGGTGATGGTAGTGGTGATGGTGGTGGTGATGGTGGTGGTGATGGTGGTGGTGATGGTGGTGGTGATGGTAGTGGTGATGGTGGTGGTAGTGGTGATGGTGGTGGTGATGGTGGTGGTGGTGGTGGTGGTGGTGGTGGTGGTGGTGGTGATGGTGGTGGTGATGGTGGTGGTGATGGAGGTGGTGATGGTGGTGGTGATGGAGGTGGTGATGGTGGTGGTGATGGAGGTGGTGATGGTGGTGATGGTGATGGTGGTGGTGGTGGTAATGATGGTGATGGTGATAGTGGTGGTGATGGTGGTGGTGATGGTGGTGGTGATGGTAGTGGTGATGGTAGTGGTGATGGTGGTGGTGATGGTGGTGGTGATGGTGGTGGTGATGGTAGTGGTGATGGTGGTGATAGTGATGGTGGTGGTGGTGATAGTGATGGTGGTGGTAATGATGGTGATAGTGGTGGTGATAGTGGTGGTGAGTGGTGGTGATGGTGGTGATAGTGGTGGTGGTGGTGATGGTAGTGGTGGTGATGATGGTGATAATGGTGATGGTGGTGGAGATGGTAGTGATGGTGGTGGTGGTGGTGATGGTGATGATGATAGTAATAATAATAGTAATAGTAATAGTAGTAGTGATGATGATGATGATGATGATGATGATGATGATGATGATGATGATGATGATGATGATGATGATGATGATGATGATGATGGTTACAGTGATCTCAATGATTGTGATTATAGTGATAGTGATGATAACATTGATGGTGGCGATAAGCAATATTAATGATGCTGATGGTGATAATCATTGTGATGATAATGATGCTGATGGTGATAATCTTAGAGATGATAATGATGGTTATAGCGATAGTGATGATAACAATGATGATGGTGATAGTGATGATGACATTGATTGTTATTATTACTATTATTTATAATAATAATTATAATAATAGATATAATAATAATCATAATCATAATTATAAAAATAATTATAATAATTATTATTATCATAATTATAATGATAATTATAATCATAACAATAGTAATAATAATAATGATAATAACAATAATGATAATTATAATAATGATAATAATTATAATAATAATTATAATAATAATAATAACAATAACAATAACAATAATAATAATAATAATAATAATAATAATAATAATAATAATAATAATAATAATAATAATAATAATAATAATAATAATAATAATAATGGTAATCATCATCATCATCCTCATCCTCATCATCCTCATCCTCATCCTCATCCTAATCCTCATCCTCATCCTCATCCTCATCAATCATCATCACCGTTATCATTATTATAATAATAATTATGATAATAACTGTAATTATAATAACAATAATAATAATAATAATAATAATAATAATAATAATAATAATAATAATAATAATAATAATAATAATAATAATAATAATAATAATAATAATGGTAATAGTAGTAACAATAAAAAATAATAGTAGGTATTAGTATTAGTAATAACAACAATAATCATTATCATTATGTACGATAATACATAAATGAACTGCATCCACCCACCTGCTTCTCGGCCTCGCTCATGGCCCCGTAGTTGAGTTCCTTCCACACCAGGATCTGGCCATCCTGCCGCCGCCGCACCTTCCTGACGGTGCCGTGGGACCCGCTGCCGATCGTCGACAGGATCTCGAAATCTTCCAGCCGAGGACCCATTGTCTCTCTTGACCTGACGCCTAAACTACGGGATAAAAACGTCATGATGAGACGCGCGTGTTCTGTTGTTTTGTTGTTGTTATAATTATTTTTTGTATAGCCTAAATAAATACGTAAGTTAACACTCGTGTAAACAAGGGTATTGGGTTTCTGGGTCGTAGTGCAGTTTTAAGCCCTACTGGTCATTTGAGAGTTGGGAGATGAAGTTGTAAAAGTGCTCTTTGAAATTTGAGGCTGGGAGGTCGGGTGACAGACCAGCTTCCTCTCCCTGATTTCCTTTCCCTACTTCTCCGCGTTTATGTAAAATGCCCAAACATTAATCAACGCTAGAATATAGAAAGATCATTTATTAAACGTTTCAAAAATGAATCATAGGTGAAAACAACGGCGGAATGTATACGTTGGTAGTTTACATTACCGAAACCATAACAAAAGAGGAGTGTTCTAACGGTCCAGCCAGGACTTTAGGAAAATCGAAAAGATTCCTACCTACTCATCACCAGTATATTAATGCCAAAGTTTAATTTGATCGCGTTTAGCACTAAAATCAGTAGACCAGAATCAAAACTTGAGCTAAAATACAAGCCTACATGCATAAACAAATATTATGAACCTTTACTACAATGTCTTCTTGTTTAACTTTTACATGATAGATAACTGTAAAACTCTACTTTGACATGTCTACTATCGAACAATATTGCAAAGAAGTATGTATGCATATATTAAATATACATACAAACACACATATATACATATATTTAGTTACATATATATATATATATATATATATATATATATATATATATATATATATATATATATATATATACATTGGTATTATCAGATAATTATATGATAAACTGAGCTTAAATAAATCCTTCATGCACGTACAACATAATCAAGATGATCATTTACTAACATATAATTCTCTTCAACTTTACGTGGTTGTTATTCGTAAAATATATGTCCATTATGGATTTTTTTTCTGGAACGCATATTTAAATGAATTATATTAATAGATATGATTGCAATAGTGAGTTAAAGATACATTTCTAAAGTAATACTAAACCCTAATATCACGACAATACATTAAAAATAAACCTACTAAAGATCAGCTGTTTACATTAAGTGCACCATGCTGTGAAACAACAAATAAACAAATATTTTCAAACTTACGTTGACTGTAATAACAGCTCACCTTTCAACACTTTCCACTCTTAAGCTGTATCGCACAGGCAGCTACACTCGGCTTCTGACCGAGCATAAAGCCAGCTGCAACAGAGGCGGATTAACACGGAGGAAATTACAGGAAGCAGGAAGGCAATGCAGGAAGCGAGATTTCCTCCGGAACAGCTATAAGCCAAAATACATAGTTCCGATGTTTTCTGCGGCTCTACCGGTCTATGGGTAGTCACCTCGTTAATTAGACATCAGATGGCACTATTTTTTTACGAAACTGCTTTCATGTGGCGTGTTTAAGGGTTTAAAACACACCAGACTGACCCTCCGTCCCTCCCGTGCACTTTTCAAATGGATTTTAAAAATGGCCACCACATCGAAGGGCGGCGATTGGTCGGCGGATGTACCCTGACTCGCTCGTGATTGGTCGGCGTCAGAACCTTTCGTGACGTCACGTCCATAAACATTAGAGATAAATTTTAGATTTTGCCTGATGTTCATGAATATTATTATTATTTACTGATAAATAAGCATTTATGTTTAATTGTCATATACATATATATATTTTTTTACATTCATCAGTGTTAAAAGGATCTTTTCATGTTCATGCCTTTTAACTGGGACAGATTTTTGTAAGCATAGTTTCGGAGATTGTTCTAACTTCGATAAATATATATACTTGGTGGTTAGAATAAATAAAATATTCAAGATATAGATAAACTTTTTTACAATAGGATTTCGGGTAATTTTACTCCTTTTCTAGTTTACAGAACTGACATTGCTGAGTAACAAAGCAGCCGCTGGATTTGACTTTCATTATTTGCCGAAGAATAAAAATGTAATGAATTTTTCCTAAAGAACTGACCGTCTA